TCTGGTGGTTTTTGGGTGTTTTCGGGTGTTTTTGTTTGTTTTGGGGTGTTTTCAGGTGTTTTTGTCTGTTTTGGGGTGGTTTTGGGGTGTTTTCAGGTGTTTTTCGGGGTGTTTTCAGGTGTTTTCAGGTGTTTTTGTCTGTTTTGGGGTGTTTTTTGGGTGTTTTCAGGTGTTTTTGTCTGTTTCGGGGTGTTTTTGGGGTGTTTTCAGGTGTTTTCGGGTGTTTTGCAGTGTTTTTGTCTGTTTCGGGGTGTTTTTGGGGTGTTTTCAGGTGTTTTTGGGGTGTTTTCTGGGTGTTTTTGTCTGTTTCAGGGTGTTTTGGGGTGTTTTCAGGTGTTTTTCGGGTGTTTCGGGGTGTTTTTGTCTGTTTCGGGGTGTTTTTGGGGTGTTTTCAGGTGTTTTTGGGGTGTTTTGGGGTGTTTTTGGGGTGTTTTCAGGGGTAGGGCGTGTCGGGGGGCCGGTGCAGCGCCGCGTCCAGCGCCGTCCCCAGCGCGCAGCCCCCGGTCAGCGCCAGCACGGCCCAGAGACACAGACGGTCAGCGGCCATGGCCAGCGCGCGCCACTCGTCCTGCGCCTGGAAATGGGGAGAAAACACCCGGAATTGGGAAAAAACACCCGGAATTGGGAAAATACACCCGGAATTGGGAAAATACACCCGGAATTGGGAAAAAACACCGGGAATTGGGAAAAAACACCCGGAATTGGGAAAATACACCGGGAATTGGGAAAAAACACCGGGAATTGGGAAAAAACACCGGGAATTGGGAAAAATAACAACGGGGAAAATATCGGGAATTGGGAATAAAAGCACTGGGAAAAGCCACTCGTCCTGGGCCTGGGGAAATGGGGAGAAAACAGCGGGAATTGGGAAAAACACCGGGAAAAAAACCCTCACCTGTCCCCAGGTGTGTCCCCAGGTGTGTCTGTGACCCCCCAGGTGTGTCCCCAGGTGTGTCTGTGACCCCCCAGGTGTGTCCCCAGGTGTGTCCCAGGTGTGTCCCCAGGTGTCCCCAGGTGTGTCCCAGGTGTGTCCCAGCTGTCCCCAGGTGTGTCTGTGACCCCCCAGGTGTGTCCC